GTGTGTGTGTGTGTGTGTGTGTGTGTGTGTGTGTGTGTGTGTGTGTGTGTGTGTGTGTGTGTGTGCGTGAGCGCGTGTGTGCGGCGTGTGTGCGTGACCGCGTGTGTCCGACCCCCCCCCCACTCGCGCAGAAAACGCATCTGAGGGGGGTCTAATTTCAAAATTTTTCTGGGGGAGGGCCCCAGACACCCATCCCCTTCGCGTGCTCGCTACTGGTGTCCCCCCCACATTTCAAAATGGATTTGCGCGCCTGGCCACACTTCATATGTTTCTCAGCCGTGTAAACAGAAGATTGAAGCCAAAACTTCGCTATATTTATTCATTTATTGTGATGAAATTAAGTAAATCAATAGCAAAATACAAATGTTGCGTTTTATGTGGATAATTACCTATACATGATACTTTCAACTTCATGTGTTGTGGCATCTGACTGCACGCAAACAGTATAGACTTATTGACATGATTGTAGCGGTGCATTTTGTATCTGGGAGAAACTAAATAAGCTAGTAATAAAGAAGGGCAATGAGAATTGGTAACATTAACCAGATGTGTCAAAAATATATCATGGTTCTGCTTAATGCTTCCCAACTCCTGCTTCAGTGTATGCTACACGAGTAAGTTCAAACCAAATAACAACATTCTAATTTAGTGGTAACCAATCACTTGCATGCCTGTTATATAAAAAATGTCATGATACAGTTGTTAATTTCAACACCTCAATTGGGATTTTAAATGCTTACCAGATATTATATTCCCCCTAGTGGAGATTAAATGGAGTAGCAGACAGTAATCAGTTGAAGAAGGTCTTATGTGGCAATATTCCCTCAACACCCAAGATCATAACGAATATAAACTCTCTTGGTCTCATTTGACGCAGTTATATTAGCATACTGATAAATTATATTATGACAGATGCATATCGAATAGCCATCATAAGTATTCAGTAACTAATGCAGCATATGCTATTGTGTCGTTAGATATGGCAAATTTGCATCAAATTAATTCTAGCTTATGGCTCATTCTTTTGTTCTTAGATATACACGAACACAGTATATGTATTGTGTGTTTCGTGCATGTTCATACAGTCAAACCTGTATATGACAACCAGCTAAGGGAAATGCCAATGATGACCTTTACAGACAGCTGGCTTTTCTATAGGGGTCGCCTGTTTATAAAATCTTCACGTTGTGAAGGTTAGGAGATAAAGATACGGGAGAGCATTGAGAGGGGGGAGAAGCTAAGAATGGAAAGAGTGGAGGTGGGTGAGCAGGAGGGGCGCGTTAAGCTAGTGGCCATTCTGTACAGTGCTTGCAACAATACTTTTCAGCGGGCAAGATTTTTTTATCGCTGTAATGAATAGGTGGTAATACTATAGAGGTGGCTGCTAACACAGGTTTGACTGTACATATATATATATATATATATATATATATGTGTGTACATGGGTAATTATCATAAATGCTCAAGATTGGGTTAAATAACTACATCATGTGTCGAAATTGTAAGATCCAGTACAATTTGTTTATAACTGGCATTGGTCTGGCCCTTTCATTTTTCTTGCACAGACTTACCCATTTTTATAATGAACGTTTTATGAAATACCAACCAAACTAGAAAGGGCAGTTGTCGCCAACTACATGTATCCCCCGTGTTCTCCCCAAGATGTGTAAGTATATGAAGTTTGGTCGCGCTAGGTCAATTAGGAGCCGAGTTATAGAGCAGAAAGGAAATATGATCAAGATCAAGGTCAAGGTCAAGGTCAAATAAAAGCCGCAGTGATCTTGTTTTGGTACGCGACACACATTCTCCCCAAGATGCTGATTCCCCCACTGCTAGGTCAATTAGGGGCCGAGTTATAGAGCGGAAAGGAAATATGATCAAGGTCAAGGTAAAGGTCAAATAAAGGTCGTAGTGACCTGGTTTTGGTATGCAACACACCTTCTCCCCAAGATGTGTAAGTATACCAAGTTTGGTAGCGCTAGGTCAATTAGGGGCCGAGTTATAGAGCGGAAAGGAAATATGATCAAAGTCAAGGTAAAGGACAAATAAAGGTCGTAGTGACCTGGTTTTGGTAGCGCTAGGTCATTTAGGGGCCGAGTTAGAGAGCGGAAGGGAAATATGAAGTATGAAATATGGCGGCGGCGGCTGGGGAGACATGAAACCATAGTATCCCCGCCGACTTCGTCGCGGGGGATACAATTATCCCTATATAAAAGTTCAATATATAACAAGTAACAACAAGAAAGTTAAGCGACATGCAGTGTCTATCAAAGACATTGGCTGCCTCTTGCTTTCCTGCAGCTATTCCTTTAGATTTTCAGTTGTCAATCTTTAATAATCCACAACTTCTGTGATTTAGAACTGAAAAAGAATACATCTTGCTGTTATTATTTCAGTGGTATTACACTGCACATATCTTACAAGCAAAACTCCTATTTATTTCATATAAATTTATCAGAAAGGACTGGACAAATTGCCCATTAAATTGCAAGAAATGTTCACACATACTTATTTTCCTGCTGCCAAAGAACTTTGGTAATGAAAATATCAATAAAAGCAAATATTGCCGATCAAGATGGTACACGATACGTAGTACATACCCGCTTCAAGAATTCCTCAGCCGATATTCGAGCACGCGCGTTTACTGCTAGCTTCATTTCACTGATCTCCTTGTCAATCTCCTCCATGAAGTGAATGACAAAGTCGACCAGCTTGTGCTTGTACATTGCTTCTGTGTGGAAGTTGGTGATGAGGAAACTGATATCATAGCCCTGCAGAGAAAAACGACAACATAAGAATGAGTCTGTCCAATTTTACTGCAATAACCAGATGATTCAAGTAAATCAGTAATGTCACTTGGAACGCAAATGAGGATGCCTCAATTAGGGGTGCACAGGATCCAACTTTTTAAGTTCCGGCCAGAACCAGAACCGACTGGAACTTAAAAAAAGTTCCGGCCGGAACAACCTGGCCGTAACCGGAACTTTAGCTGGGAATAAACTTGACATTTTTGGCCCAGTATTGCCCAAACTCACTCGGCCTGAACGAAATATCATTAGCAGGCACATCACTTAGGCGAGTAGGACAATGCTCAAAGTTGTAATTACAGGATGGTTGTTACAGTTAAGTGTATGAATCAGCTGCTTACAGTGCATAATTTGCATAATTCTGACATCTCATTCATGAGCGAATTCTGTGGCAAAACCTGCATGTTGCAGTATCCCTGGTTTTAGTCTATTATTTTCAACCAACGGACAGATGCGATTCCTGTGGCTCTAAGAGTATTTGATTTTGAAAGAAAATCTTATGAATCACCTAACATCAGTTAGGTTCAGTTCAGTTAGTTAGCCAATGTTCAAGTGGCAAGCGTTTGGGCAGTAAAGTGTGAAGTTGTTAACACTATATTGTCCGCAAGTTGACTCTATTGACTCTCCAGTGAGTAATCTTTTGATTTTCATAACACTTGTAGCAGAAATGAAATTAGGAAAAAGTTCCGGTTCCGGCCGACTGTTTCTGAAGGGTTCCGGCCGGAACAGGAACTCTGAAAAATTTGGGATCTGGCCGGATAGTTCCGGTGCACCCCTAGCCTCAATATGCAAGCTCGATGTAAAATCTATCAACAATTCTATTTGGACATGTATACACAATCCCTTACCACATTTCATTCTCCTAGTAAACTTATCCACACTGCATGTCTGCACAACTGATGTATCCAACCAACCAAAATATATTTTTTTTAATTATATATCTCTCAACCCTTTCCCTATTGTATTATTCCTCTCCCCTGGTTGCCTGCGCCTTCTATTTCAGTAGCTTGCTTACGTACCTCTACAGGTTTCCTTCGAAGGACAAAGAAATTTTCTGCACGCATCATCATAAATCGCATAAACTTGTGGCACAGGATTTTCTCTATTTCGTCTGCCTGAAAAATTAAATGCTATATATTTCTATTAATGCATTTAGCTTCACATTAAGCCCAATATATCCAGGAGATGGTCACTTAGAATAAATAATCTATGCAACATGAAAATATGCATAACTTTTGAACAAGCAAAAAATGGCAGATATATATGACAACATACATGATAACTCATATCACACGAATCATACATTAGCGCCATCTACAGGATAATTAAGGGTTCTACGAAAATAATGGCCAGACAAACAAACACCACTAGTCATATTTGACCATTAAAATGATAACTTACTTGTTTGATACTTATGCTAATGCGAATCGAGTTGACTGAACCTTCTATAAGAACTTTCTCCTTCTCATTCCTGCTGATCACCACAGGTGTTAACAACAATTCTTTGCTGCTCCTGCAAATGAAGCCATTTTTTTGAAAAGATCCTTTCGCTGCCTCTGCCCCAACATACGGTCGAGTTGTATAATCTCACACATTCAGCATTCAGATTATTCGTACCTCACTTCTACCTCCGGCTTGTTATGTCGCTCAACGTTTTGTGACGAGAAATTTTCCAGACACATCGCTGCTGCCAGTGTGTGTCGCACTGCACTCAGGTATGGTCTTAATGTCGCAGACTGCAAACATACAACATGCTTTGATTTTTACAATTAAAACAACACTGTATCGACTGTTGCATTGTCCATTGACAATTACCAGAGCCAGGATTTTGGTGAAAAGGGTGGCTGCTTGCACCACAGGCACTTGGAGCGTTTCAATAAAATATACTGCTAAATAAATACGAAATCTATTTACTACCAAAGTCATAATGTTTCTATACTCTCTTTCACCTATTATTGCTGACTTTCCTGTAAATGCTGTCCAAATGCTCATCTGCAACAAACGCTGGCTGCCGCTGCACACTGACACATAAATATATATAGCAGGTAGGAAAGCGTGCTGCCAAAATTCGCTCGACGCTCTCTTGATTTCATACGAATACAACACAAATATTCAACCATTCTACTCCATCTTTGTTTCTATTTGAAGAACAGTGTTCACTTGTAAAAAAACATTCTGTCGTGTTCGTTAACCGAGCTGTGTCAGCGCAAATCACACAAACGGACGAAATTCTCAATCGCAATCGCTCCCGATGTGGCAGTTTATGTACAATGCTGTCGATCAGGAAACACCGCACCGGCGCGCTTCGTAACCTCATTGGCGCCGCAGACGGCAACGTTTTGCAACGGCTTCACGGCGGCTTTGCAAGGCCGACGCGGACGTTCAGGGTTCTCCCCAGGAAGAAATGAAACAGGGGAGGGGGAGCGGAGGAGGGGGGAGAGGGAGAGGAGAGGAAGGGGAGGGAACTAGAAGGTCCGGAGGGCCGGTCGAATCACTGCAGCAAGAACAAGTCCCGCCACCTGCAGCACAACACACAGGCCATCCTATTGCACATATATAACAACATTAATAAGTTAAAATAACGACAAACAACTATACTACTGATAACAACTCTCACTATATGACAACTAATCATAAACGTTGTTTAATATAGTTAATAGATCGTTGTCTGTAGCTGCAGGCGACTGTTCGTGCCGCAGTGGTATACGTGTTGTGAGCTCTTGCTCTGAACCATGATTGTGAAGCGTTTTTTGTGTTTTTGTTTTTGTGTTGTTTTGTGTGTAGTCAAGATATTACTAACACGTATGTTTCTGTCATTCACAGCAGGCTCACCAAAGCCCCATATGTTTATTCCCACCTCTAACGTGTCGGCATATACAACGAGTGCATAGATCCACGTGTTCGTAAACGAGATACAGAGAAGTAAGCATAACATAACTAACTAACACACATTGCCTCCCTATTGGATAAAAATTATTATTGTCTGCGTCAACTTAGCTTTCATTTCATTCTGAATCTAAGACACATCGGCAACCTGGCTTCGAATGTAATTATGCATAGACCAAACTTGTTCATTCAGTTAAACATTTGAACACAGTAACGCTAACACTAGTAGTAAGTCACAATATGAAACCATTCTTAACAAACACTATGTATAACACTACAGCTCCAATCGGGGGAACTCGTCTGTAATTACCAACGCAACTAAATCATGCATAAGAACACTCTTTGAATGACGCACACGGCCTCTTGCTTGTACGTTTAGAAGTCTGACGTTCCCCTCGCGTTCTGCGTAAGAGCATCGTGTGGTTGCGTTCCAAGTAACTCACCATTGCTATCATCCATTTCTCTCAGATGTCGCGACGATGTACCATCTTGAACTTCGAAGATTGCGTGTTAACTCTCAATACTCCCCGCGCTAGCTGTTACCATGCCCCTTTTCGCTCTTGTCACCTTGTATGGTGGTGGATCGTACGGTGTAGACACGCTTATCTCGAACCTTTGCGCTTCACTATACGTGTAACAACCGAATTTTGATGCCTACTCTCTCTGCATGGCGTTGTATCAAGCATAGGACTTCATCGTTGTCCGCCCTCCCGTTATCGACTGCATGAAACTGCCGACATCTTGTCCTGTCTGCCAGAAGGTTAGGTCTGGTAGTTGTTACCTCATCTCGGTGCTTGTTCGAGGCTTTCGCTGGTGACATTCCAGCTCGAGTGCGCGTCGGTCGATTATTGACTAAAGAAATCGAACAAATCGCAACTTCCAATTTCGACCACTTCGATTGTTCGCCCCCGATTGTTTATTTAGTGTCTACATAATGCGTTCAGCTTCTCCATTTGCCTGTGCCACAGACGCGTTATATACTCGACTGATGGATCCCAACTTCTTTCTGGCAAAACGATGAGAGTATTCTGCACCATTAACGGTGGTGCTTGTGCGGTTGTCCACTGCTTGTCTGGTATACAATTGCCTGGCAAATATGTCTATCTAGTTAGGAATTGTGCCTTTCGAGATGTACTTTCACCAGCTCTACCTCTGGAAACCTATATACTCATCACCCACACTAAGCAGTATTCTCCGTTTTCGCGAAATGACCGGCAACAATCTACTCGCCACTTTTTTCCATGGTCGCGCAAGGTATGGTATCTTGAGAAGGTTCGCTTCTGCGGTTGTGGCGAGCCAGCTTGCGGCGATGGCAACACTCTTAAGTCGCTTTCCAACCAAACGATTTATACCCGGAACCAAACCTCTCGCGTAACAAGCCCCTCTGTCTTGACGAACCGTTGTGTCCGCCGTGGACAATTCGACTGCTTGCTTGACGGAGTAACGAAACTGCACAACAATGCGTGGTCGCTCAGCACTGCAAGCCCAATTAAACTGCCAACCATCCTCTCACTGCCCGATATGCCATTATGGAACAAGTCCTCATCTGCCCTAGGTCCATGTTCAATGGAAAGCGGATTAGCCTCTGTAGGCACCGGATCTCTCAAAGCATGTCCTCACGTCTCTCACAGTGAGTGCCTGGCACACTGTTGTACAGACATAATTTATATAGTCTCGGCCCGCGTCTGTCGCTGCTGTTGATTGGATGGCCTACCTCATGTAGTCAGCAGGATTTCGCGTCTTTCCTAGACCTAGCTCGAGAGTATATACTTATATCCAACAACCGTAACCTCCACGGTCAATCAACCTGGCAGATGCTGCTTATGACTGCAAACTAACCCCAATCAGCGCTTGTGGTCTTAAATCCGAATTCACTCCCCATACAGATAGAGGATGAAAGTGTTCAGCACCCCATACTCCGGCTAAACGGATTTCTTGTCTGGTGAACAGCGCTGTCAACACTAGAATAGTGCTCGCACCGAAAAAAAACCTTAAAAACGACTTTCCCGCCTTGGCAAACATGGCGCTACCCTACATGAACTTGCGTCTACTACTCACTTCTGAACGCTTGTTGATCAAATACTCCTCGTGCAACATGCGGTCAGTAGCTTGAGGTCAACAAAGTGCTTTCTGTGCACACATGTCCCCAGCCCATTGAGTCACGCTTATGTGAAGTTTCAGGAGTGCAGACGTCACATCAGAATAACTTGGTATAGCCTGGACTACAAATTGCCATCCTATAGCGACTGACCCACTGCGCTCTGCGTACACTAGCATTTACGAACCAGATATCTTCCTAATCGGCAGCGTCCCGCATAGCGAAAGTGTGTCCGTAGAAAGTCAACCTTGTCGTCCAAACCTGCACTTTCTTATTCAGCTTTAACAGTGCTTCAAGTCGCCTAGGTACCGCTTTCAGGTTTTTGTCGTGCGATTCTTGGGTTTGTCCATACACAATGATGTCATCTGACATGTTTTTGCATCCCTTTAAACCGGATAACACTCTTGATAGTGCATTCTGAAAGATCTCCGAAGCGGCGTTGATACCGAACATTAACCTATTGTATCTGAACAGCCCAACATGCGTTGAGAATGTCGTAATGTATCGACTCTCAGGTTGGAGTTCCAGTTGATGATACGCCGACCTTAAATCCAGCACACTAAAAACTGATGCACCATTCAAATCTGTGATCAGCTCGTCGATTGTCGGCATGACATGTTTTGTGCGTTTTACGGCTTCATTCGCTTTCCTCATGTCCACACATATACGAACCTCATTGTTCTTCTTTGGTACCACCACAATAGAGCTGACCCATGGCGTTGGACCGCTAACCTTCTCGATAACGTCCATTTCTTTGAGTTTGTCCAGTTCTCTCTCGACAGCTTTCCTTACGTGGAATGGAATACGTCAATGTGGTTGTTGATTTGGCTCCACATTCTCGTCAATGTATAACTTCACCTGTATGTTTTCCGCTTTGCCCATACCCTTGAAGATGTTCGGAAACTTCCCGGCTATCGTCTGCATCTTAGATGCCACACTCTGTGCTACATGTATAATGCCTAGATCTTCAGCTGCTCTGTAGCCTAAAAGGTTACCTGTGCTGCCATCTACAACATGAATATTAGTCTCCACAACCTTCTTGTCATACTGTATCTTGGTTATAAGTACTCTAATGGTAGGCAAAGGGTTTCTTGAGCCATAAGGGTAGACCTTAGTCGTCGGTTGTTGAAACAGCAGTGGCACGTGGGAGGGCCCCTTTAACCGGTTGAAAGTTTCGCTGTCTATGATGTTCACTGATGCCCCTGTGTCAACAGTCATTCTTACGACTTTCCCCTCAATCTTTACGTCGCACGTTGGTAGCTTGTCCCCGTGCTGTCTCGCACCAAACGTGTACTCATCGTCCGAGGAATCCGACTGATGTGCTTCCAGCTCCGCTGTAGAATGCTTGTCCTCTGTGACGTGATAGTAGTCGGTGATACGCTGACTGTTCTCTTCTCTGTCTTGATCTACACACTGCAGCGAAGTGGTTAAGCTTCCCTCATGATCTACAAGACTTGCCCCTGGCTGGACATGGCTTACTTTGGGGGTGTGGATACAGTCCACCACAATTACGGCACGTAGCCTTCCTACCCACCAGTCGTGAGGGCTTCTGTATCTGTGCAGTAGCTTTCGTCGGCTTTTGTCGAGCCTGCTGTTTCTTATGAAACGGTTTTGAATGAAGAGCGTTGACGGTCCTACCATCCTTGTCACCTTCAATACCACTTGCCTGTGCTTCTGACAGTTCTAGTGTTCTGCCATATACTACCAGTTTGGCCAGTGTCAAATCCATTTCCCGTAGAGCACGTCGTCTTAGCCGTGATGACTGACATGACTTAACAATCTGTGTTTTGATTTACCGATCGCTGTCTGCAAACTCACATGTCATCGCTCGTTGTCTTAGCCGTGTGTGGTATGTGTCCAATGACTCACCAACAGCTTGTTTCTCCTTCCTGAACAGGTAGACTTCATACTCCATATTTCTCTTGGGGTCGAAGTAGTTCGTCAAACTGTCACGGGCGAGTTCAAAGTCATCTTCACTCCCTGTGTCGGGCTACGTGATGAAAACTTCATATACTTCGTCACC